ATGGTCTTCACACATCACCATGGGAAGTCAAGTTCATTCATCCTGCTGACACATCAGATGTGGCTGCCCACCGTTCCCTCAGGTGAGGACGGACATTCCCCTTCCATGACTTGAGAACACAGAGTCCACCCTTCAAACATGTGAGGAAAATGAGGGCATTCTTCTCTCAGTTGAGGACAAGACCTTCCATCTTCCATCAGGTGCAGACTGGCCTTTTACCTTTCCATTCAATGAAGACATAACATTCAAACTTCTAACATTTGGCAGGACAGGGTTCACCTCTTTTTGTCTGATGACAAGCATGCATCCTTCCATCACATGAAAACAAGGCCCTCACCCTGTTACAATGTAAGGAAGCTGAATTCTTTCAGCCCTAACACCCACACATAAATCACCATAATGTCAGGGGCGTAGAACATGATCAAATGTAAATTCAGCATACCATTCCATAAAGACTCTGAATTCATCCTTCCATCATGAGAGAATAGGACTTCCTTGCAATCTCCACATCAGTACATTGCTTTCAGCATAACACAGCCCTCACTCTTCTGTCAGGTGAATAAAAGGTATTTTATTTTCTTCAGCTAATTACTAGATGAACATTCTTCAGATTATAATGGAAAGTGTGCTCACATTTCCCTATGGGTAAAGATGGCATTCAAAATTTCTAAATGGAGGATGGCCTTCAATCCATTTACCTAATGCACTTCACCATTCCATGAAGTGAGAAGATGGCAGTCATATTCTCACAGCAAAGTTCAAATGAAGGTCGTTCCATCCCCAAAGAATAGGGTGTTCACCTACCCTTCAGTTAAGAAGTCTTTTTCTTCTATCAGGTTTACAAGTACATTTATCTTTCCACCAGATAAACACAGTGTTTTCAAATTCCAATCAAATGAGTACAGGGCATAAGAACTTCCATTACAAGAAAAATGGATTTCACCCTTCCACCATGAGTGAAACAATCACCTTATTTTCCTCTTCTGAGGACAGGACACTCACCATTCCTTCACATGAAGACAAGATCTTCACCCTGTCACCATATGAGGACATGACATTCCTCCTGTTGACACATCAGATGAGGCTGCCCGGCTTTCCCTCAGGTGAGGAAGGACAGTCCCCTCCATCAGCTGAGAACAGAGTTCACCCCCCCACACACAAACACACACACCCCATGAGGAAGATGTATTCAGTGTCCCTCAGTTGAAGACAGGAATTTCCATCTTTCAGGAGGTGAAGATAAATGATTCACACTCACATCAATGAGGACACCACATTCAAACTTCTAACATGTGTCTGACAGGTTCACCTTGTCATAGCTGAGGACAGGGCATTTATCCTTCCATCACATGACAACAGGACTTTCACCCTATTGTGATGTGAGGACCCTGTATTCACATAGCCCTTACCTCACAATGCATCAATCATCATTCCATCAGTTACTTACAGTGTGATTTGACTTTGATTAATAGATGACACAGCATTCACCATGTTATCCAACAAGGAGTGTGCAACAACACTTCCAATATGAGAGAAAAGGACCTGCATGCTCTCTTTACATAAGAACTTAGCCTTCACCATATTATCACTATGCAACATGGCCTTCATCTTTCTGTCAGATAAAGAGAAGGCATTTTTCTTTCTTTACCTAAGTTCTGTGTGAAAATTCATCAGAACATATTAGAGATTGTGTTCACACTTCCCTTTTTGTGAATTGGGAATTCAAATACTCTAAAGGGAAAATGTCCTATCCACAATCCAGATGGACTTCTCCATTCTATTAATTGAGGAGATGACATTCATTCCCTCACAGTTCAAGTGAGTGTGTACCCATCCACAAAGAATAGGGCCTTCAACCTTCCCTCAGTGAAGATTGAGTCTTCATTCTTCTCTCAAGTTTTCAGGTAGACATTCCCATTCTCATTCAATGAGGACACCACATTCAAACTTCCAACATGTGATGTGAGAGGGTCCAGCTTTCCTTGTATGTGCATAGGGAATTTACCCTTCCATCTCATGAAGACCTACCTTCACCCTACTGCAATGTGAAGACCTTGAAACTTCCCAGCCCTAACACTACAACACATCAATCACCACCTCATCAGATGTGCAGAAGGTGGCCAGACTTCAACTAAGAGTGGACACATCATTCACCATTCCATTATATGAGGACCCGGCATTCACACTTCCATCACAAGGAAATGGATCTTCACGTGATCTTCACATGAAGACATTCCCATCACCATATTCTCACATTATAACATGGACTTCAACCTTTTTTTCTGATGAGGACTGGGCATTTTGCCTTCCTTAATTAAATATCAGTTGAATTCTTCAGTCTTTAGTGGGACAATGTGTTTGCACTTCCCTTTGTAGGAGAGGTAATTCAAATTCTCTAATGTGAGAACACAGTGTTCATACTTATCATAATAAAACAGAATTCACATTTCCATTTGGTTGGAAAATGGTATTTCACTATTTCTC